CTTCGATCAGTTTACCGAATAAGTTGTACTCGTAATAGCATTCAAGCCTATCATCAATTGACGAATATATCAAAAAAGATTCAATGATTCTGCATGCTGTCACTCATATATATATTTTTTTTGATGAAACAAAGAATCATCAATCAATCATTGTTAGACCACCATTAGAAACCTGGAAGAACTGGACGGCCGTTTTACCCTGGTATGGGACTCATCAGCAGTGCTCATCCACGACTTTTGCTCCTCGCAGGATTCGAACCCGGGACCTTCGGCATTGTAGGCGAACGTTTCACCATCGGACCACTGGTCCGACATCCAACGGTGTTAATATCTAACTCTGATTGATCTAGGGATTTAGCGCCACCTCATCCATTTGTCTTTGGTAATTACTGCCTACACCCGTTAGGGTTGAACTCCCTTGATCACGTCCTCTCAACTAGAACTCCGATAATTTCCTCAGGAAGCTAGTCACTAGTGAGCACTGTTACGATATTTTGGGGTAGAGCTTTGGAGGTTTGCGTTTTTATACATTTAAAATCATCCATCAATCATTGTTAGACCACACCATTAGAAACCTGGAAGAACTGGACGGCCGTTTTACCCTGGTATGGGACTCATCAGCAGTGCTCATCCACGACTTTTGCTCCTCGCAGGATTTGAACTTGACACCTCATTCAATTTAATCAGTCACGAATATTATCACTAGCCATTATATATCTAAATTGTGTTTAAACATCAAGTACATGAACGTTTCCCCTATCTAGTTAATCAAAATCCATTCACGTTTTTTTTGTCATTCTATTGTATAGATATATTGATCTAGTAAAGCATTACAATGCATTATCGTATAATTCTCCAGTATTTGCCAATTTAGTACTTTGGCCTTGTCAACAATTATGTCATGTGAAATATAGACGTGCATTATGGGGTGAACATCAACAGGCATTGAATTCACTTCGTATTGGTTTAAGTCAGGTTAGTTTTCAATGTTAAATTTGTTTGTACACATTGAAATCATGCATGAATCAGCCATTGTTAGACCGTCATTATAAAACCTGAAAGCATTGGACGACCATCTCGCCCTGGTTCTAGGCCTACTCATCAGCAGTGTGTATTCACGACTCCTGCTACTCGTAGGATGCGAGCCCCAGGACCTTTGGTCTTGAGCGCGAACGTATAACCATCTAAACTACTGAGCCGTCATCTAACGGTGTTAATGTCCTAACTCTGATCAATTTAGGGATTTTGGCCCGACTTCAACTATTGTCTTTGGTGGTTATTGCTTACACCTGACAGGGTTGAACTCTACTTGTTACATGTTCTCACTAGAATTCGGAGAAGATTTCTCACGAAGCTAGTCACTAATAAGCACATTTGAATACTTGATGAATAATTGAAGTTTCTTAAATAATTTGTAATAATCGTACTGTTATTCTTCTACTCTTTAGATATCATCATCTTCGTTTTGTAATGAATCAATCAATTGTTGGGCTGAAAACTTTGTTATAATTACTAATCAGTACTTTTTTTGTCGTTCAAAATTGTCTATGTATT